CTGCGACCTCCAACTCCTGGGTTCAAGCAATTCTCCTGCCTCAGTCTCCCAAGTAGCTGGGACTACAGGCACACACCACCATGCCCAGTTAATTTTTGCATTTTTAATACAGACAAGGTTTCACCATGTTGGTCAGGCTGGTCTTGAACTCCTGACCTAAAGTGATCCACCTGCCTCGGCCTCCCAAAGTGCTGGGATTACTACAGGTGTGAACCACTGTACCCAGCTCATATCTCTTAATTTCTCATTAATCTCCATTCAGTCAGGGAAATACAGCAAGTCTGCTGTCTAATCACATGCTCAACCTTGTCTTCTTTTTTTGGAAGCACTCTCCATCTATACAAATACTTCTCTTGGAAGACCCTCTTGCCTGGCTTGAACAACAAAGCCGCATTCTACCCCACCCTCCTCCACTAACGTGGAGGTAATCATTTCAAATACTACCCTCCTTAAGTGATCCTCTTTATAGACTAGGGAAGGGCTGAGCTAATGCTGGTGGTAGCAGGGACAGCTCTGTGACCTTTTGGTAAGCCCTGGCAGGAGGTATCTGGTCCCACCTCTTAGGGATTCTCATTATCCCACAGGTCACTTACGAGCTCTTCATTCTCAGCTTTGGGCCCTAATGGCCAATTCTCAGGCAACAGAAACAAAAATCTACTCAACATTCAGTTAAGACTGAAATAATTTTAACTCTTTTCGAAGCCTATTTCAAATGCTGCCTTAACCAGAAGTGCTTCCTAGTTTCCTAACAAAAGCAACCTCTCCCTGACCCTGTCACAGCACTTTTCCAATGATGCTTTATCACCTGGGTTATGCATGCAACTAGCACTGTGAAACACTTTGAAAATTTATTATAAAATGTTTGTTATAGAACTAGTGGGGAAAAGTATACAGAAAAAAATTACTCAGCCAGGTACAGTGGCTCATGCCTTTAATCCCAGCACTTTGGGAGGCCAAAGTGGGTGGATCACTTGAGATCAGGAGTTCAAGACCAGCCTGGCCAATGTGGTGAAATGCCATCTCTACTAAAAATACAAAAATCGGCCGGGCGCGGTGGCTCAAGCCTGTAATCCCAGCACTTTGGGAGGCTGAGGCGGGTGGATCACGAAGTCAAGAGATCGAGACCATCCTGGTCAACATGGTGAAATCCCGTCTCTACTAAAAATACTAAAAATTAGCTGGGCATGGTGGCGTGTGCCTGTAATCCCAGCTACTCAGGAGGCTGAGGCAGGAGAATTGCCTGAACCCAGGAGGCGGAGATTGCGGTGAGCCGAGATCGCGCCATTGCACTCCAGCCTGGGCAACAAGAGCGAAACTCCGTCTCAAAAAAAAAAAGCAAAAATCAGCTGGGTGTGGTGGCGCACACCTGTAATCCCATCTACTCAGGAGACTGAGGCAGAAGAATCCCTTGAACCCGGAAGTCGTATGTTGCAGTGAGCCGAGATCACACCACTGCACTCCAGCCTGGACAACAGAGTGAGATTCGGTCTAAAGAAAAAAAAATTACCCATAATTTTTTTCTGTATTACCCACCTTCACTTTCACATCTGTATCATTCTAGTGTTCTTCTGTACATGTATACTTAAGGCCATTCTTTTTACACTGCTTTTTTACATTTTGCTTTTTTACATCTGTCTTACACTTTGCTTTTTTTTATTTCAAATACTGTAGTTATCTTTTTTTGCCATTAAGTAGTATTCTATAAACATTATATTTAATGGTAAATGATATTCCATGATATGGCTTTCCCACCATTTACTTAACATTCTGTTGCCAAATTGTCCCTAGCTATAATGCTGTCCATAAATAATCTCAGGTTCTCATAATTCTGATTATTTTCTTCAATTAACAAAATTACCTTTGATAAGAAGCTACAAGTTTGGGTTATTTCTTAAGGTTCTTCACAGAAAAATATGTATCCTAGTTTACTTTCTCGTTAATCACAAGGTTAGTATTTTTGCTAGAAAACACAGGAAAAATGCTCTCTGCAGCAGGCCAGGCATCCTTGTTTCACCACTCAAGAATACAGGTCCACAACCCTGAACTGAATCTCAGGTGGAAAGCAGAGAGAGTTGACCACACAAGAGAGGTGCTAGGGATATGTGAAGAGTTCAAGAACATCCACTACCTTTGACAGGAACCTTTCCTACAATTCCATGAGTTCCCTTAAATCTGCAGTATTGTCTCAACGTCTGAGCTCCATAAGAAACCTGTGAGACAGGTTGAGCAGGTACCATTCTGTTCTACAGCTGAGCAATCTGATCTCTTTATCTCACTGCCCAGTGTCAAACTTACAACCCAGATTTCCCAGCTTCCTCAAGATCTTCCTCCTGTTCCTCTTAGCAGGTTCTAAGAGGCTGTGAAGGATCTGAAGAGCCTACAAGTCTACATCTTGTAGTATGGCTACTGTCACTGGGCAGAGTATAACGGTAACACCACCCTCACCAGACCCTTCCGTTTTACCAGAGAAGTCACTGGGCTCCCTGGACAGTTGCAAACATACACTCCTGAAAGCTGCTCTCCCATCAATCATGGGTCATTTCCCTTAACAATCCAACACCTAGTATTAGCTAAAAATAGTATCCTATAAACTAGAAAAGTTTCCAGCATCTCTGAAGCATCTCAGTGAGGTTTAAACCATTGTTGAATTGTTAACTGTTACGCTTTTTTTCTTGGAGGGGGCAGGGGTGGTGGCAAGTCACCCAGGCTGTAGTATAGTGACACGACCATGTTCACTGCAGCCTTGACCTCCCAGGCTCAAGTGATCCTTCCACCTCACCCTCCAAGTGGCTGCGACTAAGTGCACACCACCACATCTGGCTAATTTTTCTACTTTTTTGTAGATGGGGTTTCACCATGTTGCCCAAGCTGGTCTCGAACTCCTGGCTTCAAGTGGCCCAACTGCTCCAGCCGTAATTACAGGGGTTAAGTCACCACATCTGGCCTGTCATTCTTACTAGGACACAACACATGCAATTTTCTCAAAGGAGAAAAACAGAACATTTATTAGAATTAAGAGATGACTCCCTGAATTTTGTTTGTTTGTTTTTAAGACAGAGTTTTGTTTCATCGCCAGGCACCAGGCTGGAGTGCAGTGGCGCAATCTCGGCTCACTGCAACCTCTGCCTCCTGGATTCAAGCAATTCTCCTGCCTCAGCCTCCGGAGTAGCCGAGACTACAGGCACACACCACCATGGCCAGCTAATTTTTTGTGTGTGTTTTTAGTACAGACAGGGTTTCACCATGTTGGCCAGGATGGTCTCCATCTCTTGACCTCGTGATCCGCCAGCCTCAGCCTCCCAAAGTGCTGGGATGACACGCGTGAGCCACCGCACCCGGCAACTCCCTGAGTTTTTAACTCAGTGTAAGTTAAAAGGGAACTGGACTACCTCATGACTTACATTTTTCTTTTGTAGAAGTCAGAAGAGACAAAAACTACCCACAACCCCAAGTATACCCTTCTCTCATTTGCTTTCCTGTACAACAGAAACAAATGCCACAAGTTAGTTTCTCCCTTAATATGCCTCTCCCTCAAACATTAAGATATTTAATACTCACATACTTCTCAATTGTGGGAATTATTTCCAGGCCCAAGCTAAAAAATAAATTAAAGAATTTACAACTACAAACAGTAGTTGTCCTTTGGTGTATGTAGGGAATTGGTTCCAGGACCCTTACAGTATACCAAAATCCACACATACTCAAGTCTCGCAGTTGGTCCTGAGGAACCCACTTATACCAGAAAAGTCAGTCCTCCATGTATGTGGGTTTTACATCCCTTGAATACCGTATTTTCCATCTTTGAAAAACATGTGCATAAATGTGGACCTGCACAGTTCAGAATAATGTTGTTCAAGGGTTGACTAATTATCAGTCTTTGTTTTGAGAACTGCATTGTTGCTAATTTTTTTCAAGGTCCATTTTTAAATATTAAAAATTATATTCTTTCATCTAAAATAACTCAAAAAGGCCAGGCGCAGTGGCTCACACCTGTAATCCCAGCACTTTGGGAGGCCAAGGTAGGTGGATCACCTGAGGTTAGGAGTTTGAGACTAACCTGGCCAACATGGTGAAACCCTGTCTCTAATAAAAATACAAAAAATTAGGCAGGCGTGGTGGCGGGCACCTGTAATCCCAGCTACTTGTGAGGCTGAGGCAGGAGAATTGCTTGAACCCAGGAGGTGGAGGTTGCAGCGAGCCAAGACTGCACCACTGCACTCCAGCCTGGGTGACAAGGCAAGACTCTGTCTCAAAAAAAAAAAAAGAAACAAAGAAAATATAAAATAAAATTACTCAAACAAAAACACTTCAACATTCTTATAATGCGTTGCAATGCCCACAAAAGATTATTAAACACCACTAGGACATCTGAACCTCCTTGGAAAGAGTCAACTTCAGGAGATGCTGCCCTCTTAACTCCACTATTCCTTGGAGTATCCAATAGATCATAAAAACTAAATGTGTGCTGACTCATGTTTAAAAGCTGTTAAAACATTCCAGAGCTACACTGTCCAATGCAGTAGCCACTAAACACCTGAAATGTCCATGTTGAGATATGCCTGTAAAATTGACACTGGATTTTGAAGTCTCAGTACTAACAAAAAAAATCTCATTAATAGTTTTTTTAATTAAATGTTGCCATACTATTATATATTGGGTTAAATAAAATAATAATTTCATCTATATCTTAATTTTAATATGGGTACCAGAAAATCTATGACATATGTGATTCACATTATATCTCTTTATATAAATACTCATGTAACCTGTGGCCTGTTTTTTCCCCCAATCTTCCTATGTATCATAAAGTCGATTTACACATCCTAACCAAAGGCAGTCTTCACCCAGACAGGTATTCAATCCATAAACTAAAAACCCAAGTGTTGCCATCAACTCAACATCATTCTTCACAAGCTTTCCAAGGAAGACCTCTTACATCACTACCTAGAAGCAGATCTGTACAGACCCCTAGCACATTCAAGTTTTCAAATCTCAATCACCTGGCAAATGATCATGAATTCCTCGGTTTACTGGTGTAGTGCAGACTCTACTGAAATCCAGAGAATTATCCAATATGGCATTTATCCTTCGAAAGATATTGGCATTGCTACATGTGGATAGAGCAGGTGCTTCCTGGTTGTCCCAGCAATCTTTTATCCTTCCTGCTTCTTCTTCCTAGACATAGGGAAAAAAAGATATTTAGGTTTTCTATACTCCTTTATGACAGACTTTGTACCCCCTTGTCTCCACACTATGAGTTAGAAAAAGTAGGAAGGACTTAAGTATCTTGTTTATACATTAAACTAATAAGTGTTTACTATGAGCTAAGTACTCAGAACTGTAAGAAAAAAATAACCACAATATTCTTGGCCAATTCTTGGAAAAAATTCCAGAAAGGATACTATTAAGGAAGCAAATCAAGCACCAGGATTTAGAGCAAGAAGAGGTAGGCTAACTTACACTAGTTTTCTACAAATGTAGTCAGGTTTATGATTAGGACTGCCTTTATCTAAAAAGCTGCTAGCATCTGGGCCTTAAGGAAAAAGATAAACACTAGCTGCCAGCCTTTCAGCTATATAAGAGGAGGCTCTGGACAACAAGAACCCTTTTTCTGGATTGGTTCCATTGATGTCTTGTCCCTGAAGTCAGAAGTACCTCGCCAGAAACGGACTTGCTTATATAGTAAAACACGTAATGAGTGTTTATGATAAGCAAGGTACTCAGAAGTTCTTTTAATACTGGACAATGCCCCAGGCCACCCAGAATGCTATGAATTTAACAATTTAACAAAGAGGTATACATGCCCCAAAGTACAACATCTGCAAGTCAGCCTGCTGATCAAGGGGTCGTAAGGACCTTTAAGTCTCATTATACATGCTATTCTATGGAAAGGATTATCAATGCTGTGGAAGAGAACCCCAACAGAGAGAACATCGTGAAAGTCTAGAAAGATTACACCATTGACGATGCCATCATTGTTACAGAAAAATCCATGAAAGCCATCACGCCCAAAACAATAAAATCCTGCTAGAGAAAACGGTTTCCAGATGTTACACATCACTTCACAGGATTTACCACAGAGCCAATACAGGAAATCATGAAAGAGACCGTAGATATGACAAAAAAGACTGAGAGTGAAGGTTTACGTGAACCTTGGAGAAAACAGAGAGTTAACAGACACCATACCAGAGGAATTAACAGAGACAATTTGATAGAGATGAGTGCTCCAAACCAGTGCCAGACAAGGAAGATGATGTTGAAGTACCAATGTCAGAAAACAAATTGACATTTGATGATCTGGCAGAAGGGTTCCAATTATTCAAGACTGCTTTTGACTTCTTTAACAATATGTGCCCTTTCATTATACAGGCACCGAAACTAATGCAAACGGTGGAAGAAGGATTGTACAGTATAGAAACATTTTTACAGAAATGAAAAAGCAAAAAGTCACACAGAAATCACAAATTATTTCTGTAAAGTTACATTGACTGTGCCTGCTTCTCCTTCCATCCCCTCCACCTCCTTCCACCTCTGCCACCTGTGATAGCAAATAGTTATACATAACTAGATACACAGCAAGACCAATCAATCCCTCCTCTTCCTCAGCCTGCTCAAGGTGAAGACGGCAAATGTGAAGATCTTTATGATGATTCGCTTCCACTTAATGAACGGTAAATGTATTTTCTCTTTATGATTTCCCTAGTAACATTTTCTTTTCTTTAGCTTACTTTATTGTAAGAATACAGTATATAATACAAGTAACATACAAAATATGTGATCAGCTGTTTATGTTATTGGTAAGGCTTCCAGTCAACAGCAAGCTATTAAGTTTTAGGGGAGTCAAAAGTTATACACAGATTTTTGACTGTGGGGGTTGGTGCTCCTAACTCCCACATTGTCCAAGAGTCAACTGAACTAATACTCAATGAATTGTACATTAAAGGTGAACTTTAGGGTATGTAAATTTTATTTATGTCAATACAGCTGTTTAAAATTTTTCTTTTCTGCTGTTTACTGGCTGTGTGATATCATAGTTACTTAACCTCCATGCCTCAGTTTTCCCATTTATGAAAAAGTTAACAACTTTTTGATGACATATGTAAAGCATTTTGCATGGCATACAGTAGTTGCTATTTTTGTATCTGAAAACATTAATTATTAAATACTGGTAAGTACCAAGAGTGGCAAAGCACCCAAACTGATTAAGTTATACAATTCTATGTGATCACTGCAAGGACATACAACTTTGTTAACTGGCATAAGATGGATAAGCCATTAATGAATGAAAAAAAACCTCATACACACACACACACACACACACACACACACACACACACACACACGTAAACGTATAAATGTATAAAAAAATCAGGAACTTTTTTTTTTTTTTGAGACGGAGTTTCGCTCTTGTTACCCAGGCTGGAGTGCAATGGCATGATCTCGGCTCACCGCAACCTCCGCCTCCAAAAATCAGGAACTCTTACAGAAAAACTATTCTTTTGGTGTTCCCTATCTTGGTAAATAACAATACCATCCACCCGATGCCCAAAGCAGAAATGTAGGTACCATTCTTCACTCCAGTCTCCCTCACTCTCCACATCCAATGCCCAACTAAGCAATGAAATAATGGTTGACAGAGTTTTGTTTGTTTGTTTTTCCTTAAGACAGTCTTGCTCTGTCACCAGGCTGAAGTGCAGCGGCTCAATCTCAGCTCACTGAAACCTCTGCCTCCCAGGTTCAAGGAATTCTCCTGCCTCAGCTTCCCAAGTAGCTAGGACCATAGACACCTGCCACCCCGCCCGGCTAATTTTTGGGTTTGTTTTTGTTTTGTTTTTGTTTTGTTTTTTTGAGACCGAGTTTCACTCTTGTTACCCAGGCTGGAGTGCAATGGAGCGATCTCGGCTCACCGCAACCTCCGCCTCCTGGGTTCAGGCAATTCTCCTGCCTCAGCCTCCTGAGTAGCTGGGATTACAGGCACATGCCACCACACCCAGCTAATTTTTTGTATTTTTAGTAGAGACGGGGTTTCACCATGTTGGCCGGAATGGTCTCGATCTCTTGACCTCGTGATCCACCCGCCTCGGCCTCCCAAAGTGCTGGGATTACAGGCTTGAGCCACCGCGCCCAGCCAATTTTTGTATTTTTAGTAGAGACAAGGTTTCATCATGTTGGCCAGGATAGTCTTGATCTCTTGACCTCGTGATCCACCCGTCTTGGCCTCCCAACATGCTGGAATTACAGGCGTAAGCCACAGGTGCTTGGCCAACAGAGTCTTTTAAGAGGAGCCTGCCTCATCAGTTCTATCAGCCTCAATTATCTTGGGGAAAACATAAAAAAACACACTAAGTAAAAAAACTGGCACTTAATATCTCATAAGCTGTTCACATCAAAACAAAACAAGAACAGGCCTGATGTTGGTTTGTTTAGCCTACTAAAATCCAAGTAAGCATGAGAATGACCAGGAGAATTTACAGTTTTATCAACTCTGAAAGATAACCTTAAAGGGACAAACTTGAGCCTCATACCAGCCTCAAGTTCTTCAAAAGACTGGTATCCTTTGCAAACTGTTAAGAAGACCAAAATACACAATCCTACAAGGTTGTTTTCCCAAGCTCTCTAGAGTGGCACCATTGAGAATTGTTAAATCCAGTGGAACACAAGGCCATTTTCACAACCGTAGATTTCTAAGATGATTCTCAACCTCACAAAAGCAACTTCATAAAAGCTAAGATGCAAATATTTACAATTTGCAGAGAGGAGGTATCACTGTGTTGCCCAGGCTGGACTTGAAAGTTCTAGGCTCAAGTGCTCCTCTCACCTCAGCCTCCCAAGTAGCTGAGACTACAGGCATGTGCCATTGCCTGGCACCATCTACATATCTTAAGACTACACACTTCATTCTTCACTGCCTAATAAACATTAGCCAACTTACTACTCTCTAGAGTGAGCACCCCAAGGAGCAGCAGATTAGACAAGGACTAAACCAAAATTAAGTTTCAAAGTTTGGAAAAAGAACTTTTGGGAGGCCAGGATGGGTGGATTGCTCGAAGCCAGGAATTCAAGACCAGCCTGGGCAACATGACAAAACCCTGTTTCTACAAAAAATAGAAAACATTAGCTAGGTGTGGTTGTGCATGCCTGTACTCCCAGCTATTCATGAAGCTGAGGTGGAGGAATGCTTGAACCCAGGAGGCAAAGGCTGCAGTGAGCAGAGATTGTGCCACCACATGCCAGCCTGGGTGACAGAGCAAGACCCTGTCTCAAAAGAGAAAAGAAAAGAAAAAGAACTAAGACCTGATGCTGCAAACATCCATAACACAGACTACAGTATGCTCTAAACATACACTGTCCCTCTAAGCCAAGGTGGCTTAGAGAGACAATATGCCTCAATATGCCTGAAAATGGAGGTAAAGAGGAAGTTCAGAGGAACAGAGAGAGCAGAGAAACATTATTAAAAGTGGTCCAGTGTGGTACAGCATTAGGGACAGGAGAGGAGAGAAGATTGGAAAAGGCTGATATGCCAAATTAAGGAGTCAACATTGTCTTTTCAACACACAAAAATTAACCTCATTTTTATTTACTGTAACAATAGTCCCATATGTATGGTTTCCAGATCCTGGCCACATCTAAAGGCAAGTAAATAAAAAAGAGAGTCGAGGGAAGATCCAAGATGGCCGACTAAGAACAGCTCAGGATTGCAGCTCCCAGTGAAAGCGCAGAAGGTGAGTGGATGCTGCGTTTCCAGATGGATTTTTATTGCCCACAGACCAGGAGATTCCCAGGCAGAGGAGCCCCACGGGTCGCCAGCACGGCTGTTTTGGCTGGTGCAGCTGCTTTGGCCCATGCGGCTGCTTTGCTGGTGCCCCCGCGAGGTGGTTCTCTGTGTATGGGTGCCCTTTTAGCTGGCGATCTGAGCCCCGGGAAGGCAGAGTCGCACATTCATCTGATTAAAAACAGGACTGAAACAGGGAGCTAGGACAGGAGATTCCCAGGCAAAAAAAAAGCGCCACAAATCTCAGCACCACTGTTTCAGCCGGCGCAGTGAGTCGCTGCACAGGAAATCAGATCAATCCTGGCTCCTTTTCAACAGATGACTCAAACACCTGAGAGTCAACCATTCAACTAAAAAAAAAGGCTCTGAGGCAGGGAGCCAGGTAATCAGGCTCGGCTGGACC